CCTATACTGTAACACCAAAGAACTACACTACCCAGAAGCCAACAGTGCTTCCGGCCACTGCTTTCTTGTAGTTTTCTTTCAATAAGCCTATACTGTAACACCAAAGACCTACACTACCCAGAAGCCAATAGTGCTTCCAGCTGTTGCTTTCTGCCAAACTGGAAGGAAAGTTTTGATCCGATCCAAACCTGACTAAAAAGTTCAGTCCTTATTCATAGTGACTTCGGCGCTCAGTGGATGCAGAGAGCTATACAGAACCGACTGGGAATTGGACCAGATCCAGTAGTTCTGGTCTAGTAGCACTCAAGATTGCTGCTCATCCGCCAATCCGAGCGCTGCTTGCCAGCCCAGAAAGCCTCTTGAGCGGGGAGGTGTTGCTTGGAGGTTCGGTGTCTTCTCCGGAGCTCACCCGGACTTTTTTCATCTGGATCCCTCTGGATTATTTGGACTTGATTGGGACCATTGTGTGGTTTTGTACTGGCTCTCCATAAATCTGTCTCTCTCCAAAAGCATCTGGTGCTCAAAGGCTGCAGAGAGCTGATCAGAACCAGACCAGAACCAGACCATGGCTGGTGAGTACCCATATACGATTTTGCAGTAGCTAGTGTGCAGTACTGTATGTATGTTGTTAAAATTATGTAGGTTTAAGAGCTTAGAGCATTGCAAGAGTGTGGGAAGGGTTTATAAAGCCTTAAAATATATATAAATACTAAAATAAATATAGCGTTGCTACTTGGTGGTTTTTCACCTATATTGGGGGTGTGTGGAATGTAACCCCCGCGATAATCGAGGAACTACTGTATTTAAAAAAAGAAGCTTTTTAAAAGTATTGGCCATACTACTGCACAATCTTTTCAAGTTCAAGTCAACTTTATAGCTGTTTCCACTACACGTGGTACATGAGGTGGAACAAAATTATGTACACAGGATCCTAGTAACACCCCAAAATAGAAAAATATAAAGTATAAAAAGAAAAGCTAAATAAGGATCATGATATACACTAAGATACACATAAACACTAATAATGTAAAAAAATACGGCGTAACAACAGCAGCCCGAACATGAGTCTGTGGTGAGCAGAAGGTATGAATGAATACAGCTGCATGACGTAATCAGCAACATGAGATAATCATCAGCATGAGATCAGCAGCATTTAACATTTCTCTTTCAACAGGTGTGGTTCCCAGCTTTTTTTTAAACATGCTGTTAAACCAGTACTTAAAAAAATCCCACCTGGATCCAACAGAATTACAACATTTCAGACCAATATCTAAATTACCATTCTTTATCTATGATATTAGAAAAAGTTGTGCAAAGCAATTTTCCACATTTTAGATAAATATGACATTTTCGACAAGTTTCAATCTGGTTTTCGCTAAGCCCACTCCACAGAAAATGCCTTATTGAAGGTTACCAATTATGTTTTGATGTCAACGGATTCAAGACACTACACCGTTTTGGTCTTACTCGACTTCTGCCTTCGATATCGTTGATCACAACATCTTAATCAACAGACTTCAGAATCAAATTGAGTTATCTGGCTCTGTTCTCAAGTGGTTATCATCATACCTGTCTGACCAAAGTTTTAATGTCTTTTTAAACAGGATCATGTCAAACACTACTTGGCAATCTTGTGGTGTACCTCAGGGGTTCTGTTTTGGGACCCACTTTATTTAATCTTTATATCCTCCCCTATTCAACAGTTTAAAAATGTGCAATACAGTAGTCCCCCACTACTTCGCGGTTCGTTTATCGCGGATTCGCTCTATCGCAGTTTTTCAAAATAAGATTGGACATGATAAACAATTGGCTGACTGATGGATGAGCCACACGATCTGCATGAAATTTTTATTTAAAGTGAATTATTTTAAATTATTTAGCACCTGCTGCACATTTGTGCAGCTCAGAGCTGCACAAAAAGCTTCTTCCTGCACCTTTGTGCAGCCCATACTGCAGGATAAACTTCCTGCTGCAGCTGATCAGCTGTTCACCGTGCAGAGCGGAAGTGGGCGTGGCCAAGAGCACATGCAGGTAGCAAAGAGCAGAGGTGGCAGGAAGCTGAAATCATGTCATTCTGTGCTCTTAGTGCGTTGAAATATATATATATATATATATATATATATATATATATGTATATATATATACATACACACACACATACATATACGTATATAATAAAAATAAACTAGTTGTACTACTATTCCTACTTTGCGGTTTTTCACTTATCGCGGGTCTTCAGGGTACGGATCCCCCGCGATAAATGAGGGACTACTGTATCAGCTTTATGCTGATGATATCTAGCTCTATTGCTCATTCAAAGAAAGTGAGTTTCATAAACTGAATTCCTTAAACTGCTTGGCTAACATTAAACAGTGGTTGACAACTACTTGCAAACTGAACTCCGGTAAGACTGTAATTGTGATTATTACCCCTGAAAACAAAGTTTCTCAAACTAAGCAATTCATTGGAGCCTCAGGTCCTTCTGTTCAGTCCAGCCTCTGAAACTTGGGTATTATTTTTAATTCTGCAATGTCTTTAAAACAACATGTAAAACAACTTCTATCTACTGAAAAGCTTTCTGTCAAAAACAGAACTTGAGATTGCCATTCATGGTTTGTTTCTTCTCATTTATACTACTGTAACAGCTTATTCACATATTTAAACAAGAAGGAGCTGATTCGTCTTCAGGTTGCCCAGAACTCAGCTGCAGAACTACTAGCTCATATAAACAAGCTCACATCACACCTGTTAAGCTTCTCGTCACTGGCTCCCAGTTCATTTTAGAATTAATTTTAAAATTGTAGTTTTGAATTTTAGAGCTTTTCATGAGCACGTGCCTCCTTCCCTGACTTGGTTCAGCCCCACACACCATCTTGCAGGTTAAGATCATCTAATCAGAGGTTGTTGGTGGTACCTCGCACCCATTTCAAATCTTGCTCCCCAACGTCAGAATGCTCTACCTGAATCTTTAAGCAGCCTAGATTGTATTGATGCATTAAAAAAAACAAAGTGGCATATAGCTAGATCTTGAATCTTGTCATCTTGATGTTCTGTGCTTTACCTGTACTTTTCAATGCTTTTACATGTATGAGTGCTTATACGTATTTTAGTGTGTGTCCTTAATATTTTACTGCTTCTAGTGTGAAACACCTTGTGATGTCACATTTATGAAAGGTGCTGTATAATTAAACTTTACTTAATAAATAAACTTTACATCAATTCTAGACTTTTACATTCAAACAAATTAAATTAAATTAAATTGATGCAGCTTTACAAACCAGTCAGTTTAGAGCATTACTACCTGCTGGACTGAAGTATGAAACTAAAGATTAAATAAATTATAAATAATATAAATAATAAATTATATACACATTAGAATCAGTTGTAGATTTAGATAAACTGGAGTTAATCCAATACAAAATAATATTCTGGCTTTTGTTCCGTCTCCATTCTCTCCTGGGGAAAAGAAATTGGGTACTTTATCTGCTACAAACATCTCATTACGTTTATCTGGTTTTCCTGTTTGTGGTAGTTGGCACAGACACAACTGATTAAAACAATATACCCCCTCCAACTGGAATCAGATAATAAAAGCTAAGGCCATTAAACTAAAGGAATGAGGCCATTAAAAGTTAAAATGCTCTTCAGAACAGAGTGGAAAATAATGCCAGTCAATTCTTACTTTGCCAGTAACAACTTAATGAGATAGGAAATTAATTTTTTAGTCATGTTTCACACAAAAAAGGCAAACGTGTAGAAAATTCAAAGGGTTATTTACCTTCTGTTTGCTCCTGTTTTGCTGTAGGAGTGCCTGTCATTCTGAGCCGAGGGAAAAGACTTCTTTCAGCATCAAACAACTCATCCTGCGCACTTTCATTAGCTACACCACCATAACCACCAACTCCAACATGTTCTCCACTGTCCAGGGTGCGTTGATCATCTCTGTCCACCTGATTCTCATGAGTAGACTTGTCCCCAGACACTGAACTGTTACGACTCTGGTTTTGATAGCTGTTCTGGCCACTGCTCATGAGCAGTGGGGGATCTGTTGTCTGTATACTTTTACCTGCAATAACCTGCTGAAGAACTCTTCTTTCAGATGTTGAGTCTTCCTGAATGTAACTCTTGTTGTTGCTTTTGGGCTCATATTCATTTTCTTCTGCAGAATTCCAACTTTCTCGTTCACCATTAGCTTCCTTTGGATGGACTTTGTCATCAGATGTAGAGTGTTCTCCAGAACCGCTGAAGTCCCCAGCCCCACCATCACTCTCGTTGTAGAGTATCCTTCCAGGCTTGGGCTCTGCTTCAGTTTCATTCTCTTTTTCTATTTGCCTGTGAAAACTTGCAGTGGTATTGCTCTCATTGGTTTCTTTGTCCAGTGTTGTGAGGGTATGATCCTCAACACTAATTTCCTCCTCTTCCTCACCACTTATCTCAATGTCCTCTGAGTCGCCCTCTTTCTTGGGACCCATTTCATTACTTACCCAATCTGTAGTAAAGCCTTTTGATCTGATTGCCTCTCTGCTTTGAAAAGTAGAAAATGTAAACTGAACTTCATCATCTTGCTCAGACTCCTCACTGGACATGTTGCCGTCATGGCCAGAACCTGATCCACTGACCTCTGTGAGACTGTCTGACCAATCCAGACCACTGGAATCAAAGAAAGACGTGTCTAGATTTGCATTGCAGTCATCCTCATCTTTATCTGCACATTCTTCCTCGTCACTGTTCAGATTCGATTTAATCGTGTCTTCAATCAAACTGTCACTTTGGGTTTGAGAAATACTTGGGGCACTGTTGTCAATAGTTGTTGGTGTTACTGAATGAGTGACAGCCAAGCCATAATCAGATAGTAAGAAACGAGGACTGGTAGAATTCAGGAGATCCAGCCCCAAAGTGGTAAAAACTGAAGGTTGAACGTCTAAATTTAACTGTGTGGAGATCAAAGGCTTCCCCTCAGAGAGATTCCTGGTGTAAATACCGACAGGTTTAACTGATGGTGTTACTCCATCTGAGACAGAGTGTGCAGGGTTTCTGGGGTTGAAGATCACTCCACTTGGATGGTTTGGAGATTCAGTGAAGCTGGTCGGACCAATTGTTGAGTCTTCAATCCTGGGTGTAGCTCTATTTGCTGCAGGGGAAGCCAAAACAGAGGTCTGTTGTTTTTTCTTGCCAGGTTAAGGAAAGATGAAATGTAAGTTCTCCACACTAGACAGAAGAAGCGAGCCAAACCGTTACCATCTGTGAATAGAAACGACGAAGACGAAAAGATGAAGCACCTGGAAAGAAAGAGCCATGTCTTGGCAGGAAAAAAAAGAACCACCAGAGAGCGCTACTGAGCTACAGGAGAAGGAAAAAGTCCAAGAAGCAGATGCTAATTACCACAATGGAGTGGATCCAAGTAGATTACTGAGGCAAGAAAACTCTGACCTCACTGAGCGACATGCAGAAAGATTTGCCAAAGAGTTGAACTGATTGGGTTCAGAACCACTTTAGAGAGCGATGTAGCCCCTGATTATCACACCAATCACAATCAAAGACTCTTACTCCTTATGGCCATCATTATTACCACCACCAACATTAACCACACAATGTCACCTTGCAAAATACCAGCACCCCCCAGACGACAGAGCGCAGCAGTGATTAGACGCACAGTTGTGAGCCATTAAAAGAGAAAGGCAATCATCTACTGCAATTAAGTCCAGCTGTCTACCACCATGGAGGAACATTTACACAGAGCTGCTGTTGGGTAAAAATTTTGAACGCTGAAAACTCATTTAGTTTAACAGAATGTGTTTCTGAGCATCTTACCATTGAACAATGGCTGAGTGGTGTGCATCAACACTCGGAGCAGAGAAGAGGTGGTGAACGATTTGTACAGCGAGTCGCTAAGTGTGTTGCCGGCAGTTGTCATGATTTCTTTTGTCCAGCCTGAGGAGGGGGTAGAAGAATCTGAGGTGATGGTCTTTTCTTGAGTTTTGTTTCTAGGGACGTTGCGGTCTTCTGAGGATGGTGGTGAATCTTTTTGATCGTTACCTGTAGGGTAACATTTGCATGAAGGTGATGGAATTAGATGCGACTCTGCGTTAAGTGGCAAAACAAGACATGAAATATGAGCTGGCTGCTATTAGAAATGATAATCTGTTCAATCTGACCTGGCTCCACTGCTGCGGAGTTGGTGGTGGTTTCTACTGGAGAGCTGGTGATTGTGTCTTCAAAGAAGACATCTGTGACCTGGATGTCCTCCATTGGAGGGGTAAACAAGTTAGAGAGGCCATTTTTACTGACTTCGTCTGGCGAATCATGATCTTTGGACTATGAATAAAAGGAAATGAAGGAACAAATTAAAAAAGCTAAACTTTCATATTTTAACTATAAAACAAACACCTGTTCAACTATTTGCGACACAATGAAAACAACATTAAGCTTCAAACACTTGTTCTAACACAAATGAACAGGAAATATATAGATTCTGACCGGCGCAGACAGTGATGCCTCTTCTGTGATTTGTCGACGGACTGAAGGCAGTGTGGTGGTGTGGACAACTGGAAACAGGAACCCCGGCTGGTGAGTTACTGGATTCACCCAGATGGCACTATTGCTCTCAAAGCCCCGACTCGTAAAGGACTGGTGTTCTGGGATCTGCTGTTTGCCCTCTATCCAGTTGTGGTCAGGCATGTTTTGGTTCGTTTTCTGTTCATCAGCAGAGACAGAAGAAGTCTGGAGGGTTGACTGGGAGCTGGTATGAACTGGGAGGTGTTGGTCGAGTTTAGTTTGGTCTGTGGGCTGGTGGTGTACAGGTTGGTTCTGGTAAACTCTTGTTTGCTCTGCTGGGATTTCTTCCACTGGACTGTGATCCTCAGTTGCCAGCTTCACATTTTTCTGGTTCTCTGGTCTTTTCCATCCATCTACTGAAGAGCTCTGCAAAAATAAATAAATAAAATCATAAAACAGCCTCTTTACTTCGTGCTCTTCTTGTTTAAAGAACATAAAAAGAATCAAATCCTCCGGTGATTGCTTGTGTCTGGGAACATTTACTACGGTATTTCCTGATTTAAGAGTCATTCATCAAATCACTGGTCTCCAAATGTTCAGTGACAAGCCTGACTAACATTTTAACACCCATTTGCATAATAATTAGATCCTTTAGGTACCTCCATGTGGCTTTCAGAACCCTTTGTGATGCTGTCAGGACTGGAATCACTTTCTGGACCAAAGGAAAATAAAAATAACCATTTAGACTGTAATGAATTCAACATGTAATGTTCTACAAAGCTTGGGTCAGTCAGTACCGGGGTCCTCCAATGGCATGTCCACTATAATCTGGTCACTCCATCGCCCTCTGAGGCCACTGGTGCAAACAGCCACCACCTGAACCACGTAGCTGCTGTTGGACAGCAGGTTGGAGATGATGGCACCCTGCAGAGTCACACAGGTTAGTTAAGAGCTGTTCAAAATTCCATCTCATACATGTCTAAAACAAGCAGAAATGGAAATAAATCAATTTGTTGACACTGAACGCATGAATGAAATCCCTTCTTTATAAAATACCATATTTTCGGACTATAAGTCACACCTTTTTTTTTTCTCCATAGGGCCAGACCTGCAATTTATAGTCCGAAGCAACTTATATATGTTTTTTCCCTATTCATGACGCAACTTTGGACTGACGTGTTAAAATGTTCATTCATACTGACATGAACCAAAGAATAAACATTACCATTTTCAACAGCAAGAGGGCCTTTTAGGCTTTTGATATGTTGTTGCTCTACCACTAAACTCCCCCATGCCCAAAATTCACTTAGGTTGTTTTCACACCAGATAGTCCGGTAGACTCGGTTCGGTTCGGGACCAGTATTCATGACATTTTGTTTACATTTGAGCTGGTGTGTTTGCATTCACACTGCACTGTGCAGTCGAGTCAACCTGTTGAACCAACCTATTCCCCCGCTTGCCTGTGGGGGCGCTGCACCAAGAACTACTGAAAGAAACGACACAAAAACCTCTGAAGACACGTCTTCTTCTTCTTCTGTAAATAAAAATAAAAATGAAGTGGCATCAAGTTTTAGCATTTTTAGGAGTTATATTTTGTCATTTTTCAAAAATGGACCCAGCATGAGCAGAAGATGAGACAGAAGACCATGGAGAATATTGTTTTTCCACACAAGGCAGCTGACGGCTCCATATAAGGTCAGAGAAATGCGTGTTTGTTTGTCCTGTGGAGCGGGGCCTGGTCTGTTTACATTCACACTGTACTCGAACCGCGCTGGAGTTCGCTTCTACCGGACCGAGACATAGGTTTTAGCCCGGGCAAGAGTTCGCCTTTTTGTTCCGTGACAGAGTTCACACCTCCCTAGACGAACCGGACTTTCTAGGAAAACGAGCTAGAGTTCGATTAAAGCAGACTAAACAGGGCTGGTGTGAATGCACCCTTAGAGACAACTGAGAAAAACTTAACACAATTAAATGCCCCTAAAACTGATGTGGAATGAGACTGGTGAATCAACCAGTAACTTGCTTGTCGGCCTCGTTGGCTTGTTTTGTTAATTAAGCTTGTTCAGGATCCCAGGTATGTTCTCTGTGTTACGTTACTGTTATTTCAGATTAAATGTCTGTTCTTGCACTTTGTGAAATACACGTCTAAATAAATGCGGCCTATGCTCCAAAGCGACTTGCATCCTCCTGAGACCCAGGGAAAAAAGTATGGGTTTTTTTTTTCCATATAAATCAAGGTTTGGGGTGGTAAAAGTCACATTGCAAATCATTCTTTGTTTTTACTTATTTTTATTTAAATTTTACAACGTGTGCACTTCAGTACACAACAAGACTTTGTTGATCGCAAATGTGAACCACTAACAAATTTCAAGAGCTGATTATGAAAATTGAAATCTCCACAATAAATATTGTAAACAGAATATTAAAGCATAATAAACATTTGGTAGAGAGAGAAAGAGAGAGTGTGTACAGAACACATCAATAAATGAGTATTTTTCCTTATTAAACAAATTAGGTTCAATTCTTAAAAATCTATTAAATTACTTATTAGATGTTTATTTAAAAAAAAATAAAAATAAAACAATAAAAAACATTTTAAATATAAATATCAGGTTTACTTTTCTGTCTTCTATAAAATTGTCTTGTTTTTATGCCAGCCATTTTTAAAAGACAGGAAAAGGAAACTTGGCAAGGTCACACCTCCACACATGTGACATCATTTTAAAGCTACAGTTGTCCTCTAAAAGAGACATCAGGACTTTGTAGTGGCATATGTAGTATGAGAGATATAAGCAAAACAAAAATGTGTACTACAGTGCACAAAAATGAATTGCTGGGTCTCAGGAGGATTTATATATATTTTTCTTATTCATGAGATATTTTTTGACTGATACGACCTATACTCCAGAGCGACTTATAGTCTGGAAATTACGGTGGTTTTGTGCAAAAATTGAATGTTTTTCTAATAAACTGGAAAAAAAAAAAAAAACAACATGCACATAAAACAATATTTAAAGCGCTTTTGTAAATAAAGATCCATAAAAATTATGGTTATACTGTTTAAATATAAATATAATTTGTGCAAAGTTATATAAAATACATAAAACATAATATGTGGATTTATTTGTGTGTAAAATATAAATACAAGTTCAATATTGCAATGATACAAAAACAAAATAAAACATTAAAAATGCATTATTTTCCCCATTTTTGTTCAAAAAACATATTTTACAAAAAAAACAAATAAATCAAAATGTAAAATAATAGAAAAAGTTATACTAGTTAACTATAAACTATAGAATTACACAAAGTTCTACAAATACAGATATTATAATTACAGTTTTTTATATTTTCCTGAGGTATTGTGTACAAAAAACCCATTGTTTACATACTGTTGTAAACACACTCCCATAGATTCAAAATACAAACACTGAGTCACATAGTGGTAAACCTCACCATCTTCAACATAAAGAAACCGTCCAGAGGACCTGACTCATCTTTGTTGGATTTTCTACCTGGATTATTGAGAAAGAACTTTGATCTCACCATCTAAAAGTTTTCTCATCTAGAGTCCACATGAAGTTGGACCATGAGTCAGAACCAGAGAATGAGAGTGGATGAACGAAGAGAATTTTAACATAATATCCAGAGATATTTGCTGCAGGAGTGAAATTACTGCAATTTCTCTCAATTATCTCTTTATGTGTCAAACGTAGCAGCGTGGAGTGCAGATAATGGTGGAACTGCTGAAATTACACGTGGATAAAAAAACGAACAAGTTTTTCAGGTTGATGCTTTCAGATTTGATTGAGACATGGGGAGGACTTTTCCTACCACGTCTTGGTCTCCGTCGGTCCTGTACTCCTGCTTGTTCTGCTGTGGGCCTTGGAGAATCTGGTAGGTGACTGTGTACCAGTCGATGGTGGTGTCAAAAACTGCCCGGGGACGCTCCCACGTCACCACGATGGTGGTGTCGTTCTGGGCGTCAGCCTGAACGTTCTGCGGCTCTGAAGTGCAAACTGGAGACAGAGGAAAACGAAGACACGGTGGGATGAGATAAAACGAACACTCGACAAGTCAGGGAGAGAAAAAAACAAACAAAAAAAACAACTACAAGTGAACATATTTAATGCAAAACGCTGAAGTGAAGCAACTTTACATTTGAGGTTCAAAGCATTTGAACGTAACTTGACGTTAATTGACTTGACAGGACGTAAAAGACTGAATTCATTTAAAAAAAGCCCAGTTCTGGAGTGAGGGGGTGGTGTGTGCATGTGCATTCAAAGAAAAGGTGCCTTTTCTGAATTTCCGACTAATTTATTTCAATTTCAAAAAAGATGCAAAATAAACTGCATATGCTGAGGGAAGCGGGGCGATTGAACTACAAAGCAGAGCTCCCTGGCAACCCAAAAGATCCACTTTGGAACTGAGCCGACTTCATGAACATGGAGAGTATCGTGAATTAGCTTTTAATGCTCTTCATGAGGCCGACCATGCACAAACAGGCTTTCAGCTGCGGGGGGAAAACACTAGAGATATTTTCTACCAAAAAAGGGAATTAATGTAACATTTATACTGATTCCTGAGAGAGAGATTCAGTGTTTTTCATAAAGTTAGTGAAATTTAAACTCCATGCATTGAGTGTTGATCTGCTGATCAATACCAGCTTCTAGGATGTTTGCTGTTGAGCCATTTTACATCTTAAAAAATACTAAACCTATAAAAAGAACATGATATTTCATGACTATTCATGCCCCATAGCTGGAATATTTTATTTTAAGAAGAATATCAGATCAAACTCAATAAAAAATGTGAAAAATGAACATTTTTATATAGATTAGCTTCCATGAGAAGCCTTACATCTCTTAAGTTTATATATTTGCCTATGGAGATCCAGCCCATTTCCAATAAATGGAAAGTTTTATGTTAGAGCCATATTTCAATTTGAAGAATTATACAATACAATTTAGCTGATTCTCATAATTTAGAAACACTGACAACAAAGTCGAGTGTTAACAATAATAGGAGCAACTTCAGTTTTCTGTATTACAAACCGGATTCCAAAAAAGTTGGGACACTAAACAAATTGTGAATAAAAACTGAATGCAATGATGTGGAGATGGCAAATGTCAATATTTTATGCGTAGTATAACATAGATGACAGATCAAAAGTTTAATCTGAGTAAATGTAATATATTAAAGGAAAAATATGTTGATTCAAAATTTCACAGTGTCAACAAATCCCAAAAAAGTTGGGACAAGTAGCAATAAGTGGCTGGAAAAAGGAAATTGAGCATATAACGAACAGCTGGAAGAACAACTAACACTAATAAGGTCAATTGACAACATGATTGGGTATAAAAAGAGCTTCTCAGAGTGTCAGTGTCTCTCAGAAGCCAAGATGGTAAGAGGATCACCAATTCCACCATTGTTGCACAGAAAGATAGTGCAGCAATACCAGAATGGTGTTACCCAGCGTAAAATAGCAAAGACTTTTAAGTTATCATCATCAACCGTGCATAACATCAGCAAAAGATTCAGAGAATCTGGAACAATCGCTGTGCGTAAGGGTCAAGGCCGTAAAACTTTACTGGATGCTCGTGATCTCCGGGCACTTAAACGTCACTGCACCTCAAACAGGAATGCCACTGTCAAGGAAATAACAGAATGGGCTCAGGAATACTTCCAGAAAGCATCGTCAGTGAACACAATCCACCGTGCCATCCGCCGTTGCCAGCTGAAACTCTACAGTGCAAAGAGGAAGCCATTTCTAAGCAAGCTCCACAAGCTCAGACGTTTGCACTGGGCCAGGGTCATTTAAAATGGAGTGTGGCAAAATGGAAGACTGTTCTTTGGTCAGATGAGTCACAATTTGAAGTTATTTATGGAACATTGGGACGCCATGTCATCCGGACCAGAGAGGACAAGGATAGCCCAAGTTTTTATCAACGCTCCGTTCAGAACCCTGCATCACTGATGGTATGGGGTTGCATGAGCGCTTGTGGCATGGGCAGCTTGCATGTCTGGAAAGGCACTATTAATGCAGAGAACTATGTTCAGGTTCTAGAACAACATATGCTCCCATCTAGACGTCATCTCTTTCAGGGAAGACCCTGCATTTTTCAACACGATAATGCCAGACCACATTCTGCAGCAATCACAACATCATGGCTACGTAGGAGAAGGATCCGGGTACTGAAATGGCCAGCCTGCAGTCCAGATCTTTCATCTATAGAGAACATTTGGCACATCATAAAGAGGAAGGTGCGACAAAGAAGGCCCAAGACGATTGAACAGTTAGAGGCCTGTATTAGACATGAATGGGAGAGCATTCCTATTTCTAAACTTGAGAAACTGGTCTCCTCTGTCCCCAGACGTCTGTTGAGTGTTGTAAGAAGAAGGGGGGATGCCACACAGTGGTAAAAATGGACTTGCCCCAACTTTTTTGGGATTTGTTGACGCCATGAAATTTGGAAACAACAGATTTTTCCCTTAAAATGATACATTCTCTCAGTTTAAACTTTTGATCTGTGATTTGTGTTCTATTCTGAATAAAATATTAGATGTTGGCACCTCCACATCATTGCATTCAGTTTTTATTCACAATTTGTTTAGTGTCCCAACTTTTTTGGAATCCGGTTTGTATTAAGCTAATAAAAAAAAAACCATTAAAAAAATCTTATTGTTGCCTAAAGCCACCAATAAATTTCTTGGAAAACCTCCTGGACACATTTTTTTCTTGTGTTACCAAGCGTTACGCCGAGGTCGCCCCTCACTGAAGGATTTGAATAGTGGATTTGAGCAGAGAATGTAAACAAACCTTAATGTTTTTGGTGCAAGATATTCAAGAGGGTAGGAGTTACACTGTGGAAGAAGAGAGGCAGGTTCTTATTTTCTTGTCTGAGACAGCGCAGAGTGACAGATCCTAGAGACCTGAAGGAACGATTGTATTCACAAGCAAAAGCCAGGGGGGTGGCCAATGGGGGCCTCAGCCACCATAGATTAACCTTTGGCCACTGCACTGGCAACCCCAACCATTTTAGGCAAAAAAACTCCTAGAAAGTTTATA